ACATGCTGATTCCGGGACTGTATGCTAACCAGCAGTGCGCGGGTTGTATAGGTCCTCTGTGCAAAAACTTGCAGTGATTTATGGCCGTGAGTGCCCAAGTTAAATTTAAAGCAACAACCATTCGTACAGTTAGCGGTCTGTCTGCTTGAATTTCCTAGTTCGTAGGAGGAAGTTCGGCATTCGAAAAAGAAGGATTTGCTGGAAAACAGCTGCAACAGTGAAAGCAACCAGGTTATAATGCTTTTTTGCGATATTTCGGAGAAATAGCGTCCCAAATCTGTCAATGTTCGCTAACTTTTCTGAGTTGATTGGCCAACGTGAGAGACATGTTCTGCAAATTCTTCAGATTTTGTCACATTTTAAAATGCATCATCCTCCTTTACAATGCTCTTTTCATTTTGCCATCCGTGGTTGATTTGCTTCCTAGAAGAGAAGCTGAGTTAAGTGGCTTGCTACGAATTGGCTTGACTTTCACGCTAGCAGGGATCGTGAACAGATCTCAAGTAGGCTGTTGCTTGCGGTAAAATCATCCTCACTTGGGTCATAAAGGAGCTCTGATTTTCCCAGAAAGTGTAATAAGCCAGAAGCCATTTATTACATTTCTATTTCTGGGGGACCTGTGTGCGTCAGTGCCCTGCTTTTGAAGTCAGCAGCAGCAATTAGTTACGTGAACGCTGTTGTTTGTTTGTTATGAATTAGTTCCACTACCTGCTATTGCAGAAACAAGTGGGTGACAATTAAACGAGCACCTCTGGTGAGTTCGTCGATTCTCCTTTTGCTCGAATCGATTCGCCTCACTTTACTTCGTCTTGTCACTTTCAGCTTTTCCCAAAAAGATGACTGCTTTTCAAAGTTCACACTTTCTTGCTTTTATCCGGTGGAAAACTGTTCCCGCAAACACAGTTAAGTGTTTTGTCGTGTGGACATTTTTAATGATATTTTTCGATTTCAAGGAAAGCGTTTTATGCTTGCTGGTAGGACTGACACAGTGGCAAGTAGCAGTACCTTTGGACTGTTGTTTTTGATTCAGTAATGGGTCGCTCCCGAAGACCCTTTCCCGCTAATAAGACTTTCACGTGCTTTTACATGAGACATGAGCGTTCATTTTGAGAATACTAGCCCGCACTTATGTGTAGATTAAGGCACCAAATTTTCAGACTTGTAGCTTTTGTGAATCCCGAGATGAATACTCATTACAGACGCACACACACACACACACACACCACACACACACCCACACACACACACACACAAACACAGACAATCCCTCGGTAGTATGCGTTTTTGCATTGCATGGCTGCAAAAAACGCGTGAAAACGGATGCAAACTTGCAACTGGATAAAAATTGACGAGATTTTTTCGCTATATCAATCTTTATCGGAAATTAAAAACATTATCGAGTAAAAGTAACCGCATGCTGGATTCGAATAAACAAATAGCCAGTGTCTCGCAAAATGTGATTGCTGACAACAGTTTTGCTGCTCTCAATTACGCCTACAGCGGTGGATATAAGTTTCCCTTGTTTTGACAAGGCGTGCGTCAAAAAGCTCGAACATAATGGTTTTTGACGTGCTCGTCAAGTGTTCTAAACAGGATAAAGAACTACATTTACAGGATGCCCCTAATGGGCTTCATAAAACTAAATCTTACTAAAAGTGAGAAAGAAAAAATAACAGCAACAATAACCGAATCTGTCGGAAAACACCGCCGCCAGGCCTAATCAGGTCCTAATTAGCCTTATACTATAACAAGTCTTAATTAGCCTTATCAAGTTTTAACTTGTCGTAACACTGCCCTGTGCCACTGCGCTGCTATCCTGAACAAAAAAAAGATGTGTGTCATCTGCCGCACCTCTTATCATCCGTTAAATCATGATTCTATTGCTTCCTCCTCTTGCACCCTTCCTTAATTGCTTACCATCACTATAATAAAAAAATACCTGCAGGGAGGGCGCTCTACTGGAACAGAAACCAAAAATATACAAAGCTTTGTCTTAATATATAGAGTCTTACCTTAAAGTGTTCTTATCAGTACAAGAGCTTCCTTTCGAATCCACGTTATCTGATCAACTATAAATGATATGTCGTAATCCGAGACTCGGAGCGAATCGAGAAAAAATGTATTCAGAGCTTTATCCTTGTCTTTTTTCCAAGGACAAAGCTCCACATAATCGTGATTTCTCGATTCGAAAATAAAAATTTTAGATTTTAGAAATGCTGGGTGAGTAGTAATTGTGAAATAAGCACTTTATTGGCAAAGCCAAATCAGTATGTTAATGTGTCAATAATTCATGGTCAGGGTATATACAGATGGAGCGGATACTTTTCAAGCGTACGAAATGACCACAAGGAAAGGGACACAAAATAGCCGCAGGGTACAATGAATTACTCGAAGCAAATTAATCGCAATTACATGGCTAAGTCCATTTTTCAAAGTACAGCCTGTTTTATTGTAAGAGGCAGATTTTGGAGGGCGAGTAGGCGCAGATCAGTAAGCAAGTGTGTATCAGTATTAGATCAGTGTATGAGTGTATCAGTATCAGGTCAATTCATATCAAAATCATTCATT